AAAAAAATAACCCTAAGCGATAAGTTGGTAAATAAAATAATCTCAGGCGACAATTAACCTAAAAAATACAAAATTTTCGACAAAGTACTCACAAATGCTTAATTTAGTTCCTTTTTCATGTTTTTTTTATCAACCCTTTTAATGGAAATAACAATTTCAAGAAAAAAATGTTGAAGTATCAATTTCACTTAAGTTTCATACCCCTTATTAACGAAATTCTTTCAAAAAGGGGTTAAAAAAAATGGTATTGGGATTTAGCAAAATAAAAAGGGGATGGCATAGTAATTCAAATTCTTAAATGGGAAAAATAAATTTAAAAACACAAAACACAAATTAAATTAAGATTTTTAAAGAGTTTGTCGACAAAAATAAGATTTTTGGGGCTAAATGTCGCAGCAGTTTATTTTTTTTTTACCAAACTGTCGCATATAGTTAGCTTTTTTTACCAAATTGTCGCCAGAGTAAGTTTTTTTACCAATTTGTCACTAAGGGTCTTTTTTATTTACCAATCTGGTAATTGGCCACGTTACTACGTACTTATTTTCCTTTTTGGCCGGAATTAAGGAACTTAAAAGATTCCTTAAAATTTATTATTAAAAAGTACAAATATACATATAGGCTTAGAGATAAAAAAAATGATATCAAAAGTACAAAAAGAATAATTAAATTATGACAACTTATCAAAAAGAAGGAACATTGTAAAAAAAAAAAAATCCTTAAATAAAAACTAGCCTTTTATTCATAAATAAATTGCATTGAAAAATGAATTAGGAAATATCAATAAGTCAAATATGATTAAAGAAATTTAATTTTTGGGATTGTAATTGAAAATGGGGATTAATTAAGGGGGTTGTTAAACACCGCCCTCAAATCTTCGAGTAACGCCCACAAAATAAAAGTAAATTTACAAACTTACCCTTGTGTATTATCCCAATTGTTTTTAGTTACTACCATATTCAATCACTTTCACCAACATCCATTTCACTCCACTCCTTAAACTTTCACCACCACCACCACCACCACCACCACCACCCTTTACTTACAAATCACCGTCATCTAACCTTTTTTTTTAACACATAATAGAAATTATATGAAAGCCCTTTAACTAAGCTAAGGGTCCAAATTACAAAGTTAGCTGCATCAATAAGTTTATGGCAAAATAAGATGCTAACTAAATAAGCAAAATAAGGAGCTGTATGAGTTTTCTTATGCCGAATATAAATTCTTCTACCATACAAAAGCAACAAAATAAAACTACTTAGATTACAACTAATAGAAAGTCTTATGGGTTCAGTTAAGCAATAAAAGTCAGCGGCCTAAGGAACTAAATACCACGGAACTCTCGCATTTGAGCATTAAAAATAGTTCTGATGCAATCAGGAACAGAGGTGTGATCCCTATGCCCCACTGCCATATGTATTCCAACATTAGCAAGTTCATGAGCCATAATGTTGTCCATCCTTCGAATGTGGCGCATATCAACCACCTCAAATTCAGTCATCAATTAAGCTGTTTCATTAATAAGAGCAGCAAGTTCATGGTGAGTAGTGTCACCCATAATATCAAACATCACTTTGATTGAAATATCATATGTTTCAACAATGATCGTCTGGAAGTGATGAACTTTAGCAATTGTAATGTCTTCCTTAACAGCAAGTAACTCAACAGCCAAAGGGGTAAGGGCATTGTATTTTCTTGTGAAACCCATCACCCACGAGCCATCCTGCTTCCGAACATAGCCACCTCCAACTGCATCACTAATAGCCACCTAAGCCTCGTCAGTAATGACTTTGGCATACCCTTGGGGGGAGGATTCCAAGCAAGTCGATTCTTACGAGGGGTTAGAGTTATAGCTTCCATCTCCCTCTCATTATCCTGCAATATATGGTTAGTGCATTGATGATCTATAATAAAGCTATTAAAAACAGAATGAGAACTAGCAATAGAGAGATCAAAGACCGCTTTATTTCTAGCTATCCATAGATGCCATATAGCCACCAAAAATGTCATTTTCCAATGTTTATTTTGCTTCAAATTATAATTCACCCAATCTGTCCACGAAGCATTATAAAAAAAATAGGAAATCAAAGTGGTCAGGAAGACTAATTTTGGAGAAGAATGTATTCCATAAAATAGCTGACATCGTGCAATCTTTGAAAAGATGAATATGAGATTCAGTATGAGAAGAACATCTAGCACAATTAGGAGAGATGGAAGGAATGAAAGAGTTAAGTTTTTCAGCCACAGGAAGGATACCATGCATACAATTCCAAACTAACATTTTGTATTGAAGGGACATTTAATTTTGCAAATAGATTTCCGAGAGGAGCAATGATTGGAGGGGGTACATTTGTTAGATATGGAAATATGGTAAGCTGATCTGATATTGAATGTACCATCCTTAGAATGTTGCCATTGAATGAAGTCTTCAAAGTTGGGATTATTAGAAATGGGAATGGCTAGGATAAGTCAATGATTGACGAAGGAAGGAGATGATGAATATCACTAAGAAACCAAACTCCATTTCGAATAATATTTGCAACCAACTAGTGGGCTTTGGAAAGAGGGACATCACTTGTAACACCCCCGATTTACTAACTTATAATAAACGAGAATTAAAAATAAAATAAACAATCTTTAAATAAAAGTTGCGGAAGCATACACCTAAATCGGAGGTATCACCGCCACACTCAACAACCTGTCAAGTGTTAAGACTTACAAAATCCGAATAATACAACCCAATAAACTAGGTAGCCTATTTATACAACTTTACAAACTCATGAAAGCATACTAATCGAAACATTTGAGCTCCTTTAGCTATGACCACTTGATCAAACTTGCTTGGGAAATCTTGACTGATCACCATTAAGGACTAATTCCAAAATATATAGATCGTCGCAAGGCCACCATAAGAAAAAGACACAGCCGCAAACACAAGTAACACAACAAAACAATACACACGTCAGCAAAAAGCTGAGTAATCACCACATATCAGAATACAAAGAATAATATAATAGTTAACATTACTAGATCAATTAAACAATGTAGTTCGAAACTACATTACACATTGTACTCTGAAAATAACCTTTATCAACTCAACCTCAAATAAAATACACTTCACTCAATTAACTCGTAACCAATAAGTGTGCCATGCTCTTTGTTCTATACCTAGCCTTGGACATGATGAGTAATACGAATAAATAAACCAACAAGTATAAAACTTAAATACTCTCAATAACCAAAAAACACCTTAAACCAGACCACATACGGGCCAATTCCCACTGTAGGGGATTATAAAAAAAGTAATAAAAATTGTACCTTATTCTGAATTCATGATTATCATCCTCTCACCAACATGCCAAGGACTAAGGTATATAACGCCGAGCCTCAAACCAAGAACAAAATAATAATTCTCAACCTTTTGATCTCACACATCGATCAAATAATAATTCACAATCTAATAATAATAACTCAACAATGACACAAGTTCCCAAATAATACAACAATTCAATTCAAAAACATCTTAACTCTTAGGGAAATAAAATTAGTTCCCAAAATTTATCAAATCTCAACCCAAAAATAACACTCTGCATTAATAACCCTAGACCTCAAAACAATACTCCCTAGATCAACAACATTAAAAATAATAACATAATCAACATAATCAATCATACAACAGAATAATACAACAATTAACTTATATATCAAGACATATTAACCAATATATATACAAAACTTGATCATCATACGAATTACAACAAATCATAATACAGAGTATTTGCACATAATTATAAAAAAAGTATATCACAAACATCTCTAAAAAAGTTTTGTGTGATTACCTTAGGCAAAAATTAGGCAAAATTAGGCAAGACACTCCACCTTCACATTAAGCAATTCACACACATGAATTGCAAGTTGGGAGAAAGTAATTATTGATTGCTCAAATGTTATCATGGAGATTATAAGTATTAATTGAACATATGGGGCTGCTATAAACCCACGGACAGAAGGTGAAGAGAAGGATTTTAATATCAAAACTTACGGCTGCACAAATATTAATAGGGTTAAGATAGTTTATATACGCTTAAAACTAAAGAGTCATATTTAAATTAAAATAGGGTTTTAAACCTTTCTAAACTCTAAAATAAAAATATGAGATTAGGAAAGTTATTTAATAAATAAAAATAACTACTTATTTTTTAAAATAACTATGTTATATAAAATCATAAAATATTCGGGTATTACAAGTCATGAGAAGATAAAGAGGTTTGATGCCAATTCAATGATGATACCAAAGGGAAGTGGATCAACCATTACCTATTCCTATCTTCATGCCATTAGCCAAAAGTTCTTTTCCTTTCAAAATATCTCTCCAAATTTGAGATAGAGAATTGTTAGGGATATGATCAAGAAAGGCAGAGGACTTAAGATATTTCTCATTAAAGATGCGAACCCAAAGCTTATTGGGATTGTTCAAGATAGTCCAACCGAGTTTAGACATAAAAGCAATGTTCCAATCTCTAAGTCTCCTAATTCCTAGCCCTCCTATCTCCATTGGTTTAGTGACATGAGCCCAACTACTTTGAGGATGTAACACCCTAGAAATTCCTTTCTTTTAAAACACCAGTTTCGCCCTGTTTAAAACTTTAAATAGGAATATCTAAGACATTACTGCCGCTGTGAAACGGCTAAGGCAATTTTCAAAGACACACATTGAAAAACTATCTTTAAAAACATTCAAACAAGTCAACTATAAAGTCAACCAAACTGAAAGTAAAGTCAAACCCAAGTCAAACGAAGTAAAATAAAATCAACCTACAACTTGGAACCACCATAGGCCCTTATCAAAAACCAAACCAAATTCAAAACCTCTTCGTTAGTCACGCGTAATACAATGTCATAAATAATTAAAGCATTAAACACATCATATACTTATGAAAATTAGCATGATTCGCTCTTCACTCATGCCCATTCATGAATATGCTTCATCACCTGAAAAGCTTCTCTCTACTTGTTTCCACTACTCTCCATTAAAAATGGGTCATCATAGGGCCAAGATAAAGACAAGGCCAACAAACACAAAAAACACACAATCAACAAGGCTGAGTACATAAGCATAATTAATACACTAACATGCATTTACCTATCAACACACAACTTACCTTGTCGCATCTGCTTTTCCATCATACAACATCCAACAAAACTTCTCAACTAGACAACTACATAATTTATTTAGCATTGATTACGCATCGAACGGGTTTCCTCCCTAACCTCCCCCAAATAAATTGAGGTTACTGACACGGGAGCTAACCGTGCCAGCATCAATAACCACTCATAGGTGGCGGAATTCCTGCGCATAATAATAATAAAAGAATGTACAACGTCCTGTACTCCAGTAGAATTTATGGTTAAATATAAAAACCCATAACTCTCCCCATATGTTCATACTCAAGGTATATACGTTCCAAGAGTTTTGGTGCGTAATCTCTTTCACTTTACGTTATTTACAGATTATTAAACTTGGTGATGACTCATAAACCATAAATGTTCAACCAACAATAATTATTCAATCAACCAACTATACCAATTTAATTCTGGAATAATTAGTGACCACATAATATTTAATGTTGAATCCTTTTAAATTCTACCTCGGTGCTAATGACACCTTAAACACATAAAGCGCCACAAATCCTATCCCTCTGTGTTAAAAACACCTTAAGTGCACGAAGACACCAAAAATATAATTTATTTCTCGTGTTCAAAGACACTTAAATAGCTCTTTCCTCATGCTTAAAGCATCAATTAAAGTTATATGAACCATAATAAAATTTCTTTTCAATATACCAAACCAAATTAAATATTTAGTTTAATTAAACATGCTCTCTAATATGCCACAAATAAATATGTGGTTCATAAATAATATTCCAAACCATTATTTTCCATTCAATAATCCATCATAAAATAACTCATGCTTCACAATCCAATCACCAATAACACCCAAATCATAATTTCCAATCAAAACCTAGCATGATACTACGTGTACTCAACCAAACACATTTAGCATGCTATTTTATCAACATAATTATGCTAAGTACACAAACGTACCTCAAATAAGCTATTAAAATAGCCGTGTACACTACAACAATTCCCGAATCAAGTCTCCTACATAAAGGGACAATAATACTATATTAATTACCCTTGTATACACAATTTTCAGCAACTTAAATTCACTTTAGACACTTAAAATAAATCTGAAAATTATTTTAAAACCCATAATTAAACTCTTCTTTAATGGGTAATATAACCCTTTCATAAAACCACAATTATTCTACTTTAAATAAAATTTCAGCATTATAATTTAATCAAAAACCCATTAAAATTTCATCAAAACTCCATAAAAATACAGTCTTTAAGCTTTATTATTACTTACAATCAATGGGTATATAAAACTCCCAAATCAATTGTAAGTTAGAACCCTAAAAATCAACACTTTAATAATTAAAACCCTAACTTTTAATACTTTATAAAATCTAAAAATTAAACACTTTATAATCTAAAATTTACAATCTTTAATCATTAAAACATAATTATAAAATATATTAATCATGTTTAGACAATTAAAATAAAAAACCCAAATTATAAAATTATAGGATAATAATTAAAACAAGATAAAGGAGGAGAGAGAGAGAGAACCACCAAGGGGTGGTGGCCGCGGCTAGGGCTGTGCACAATAGGTTAATCGTACCGTTTAGCTTAGCCTTAATGGTACGGTTAACCGTTATGTCGGTTACTTAAAATTTCGAACCATAACCGTTTAGCTTAGCCTTAACGGTACGGTTACAGGTTAACCATTAACCGTTTAATAAATTTTAAACCTTGCATTACTTCCAATAGTTCCAAACATCCAACTCTAATACAAACTTAAAAATAAAGTAATAAACAATAAAATTCATGTTCTAATTAAGATTACAAATCCACAAACCAAATACATTACAAAGTTTTAATTCTACTAAGTTTTTTTTAAAAAGCATAATAAGTAATAACTCAAATATTAAGTGTTAAAACTCTTTAAATCATTTGAGCTAGAATTGTCTACGGTAACTGTTAAAACTCTTTTAATATTCCACTCTAACAAGCATTTTTCAATGGATTTTCCAATTACTTCACCTGAATGACCCGAGACAGGACAAAAATTGATTATTTTTTTGTGCAAAGTCCACTCATCATCAATAAAGTGTGCTGTCAAGCACATATAACTTAGGTTTTGGCCAGAGGTCCAAGTGTCAGTAGTGAAACACACCCTAGAAGATAGCTTACTTAAAAAGTCCTTTAACTTACTCCTTCCTCTATGTAAAGACTATAACAATCTCTTGTTATTGTTGTACGTGAAGGAGGAATAAATTCAGGACACAATTGTTTACAGAAATGTCGAAATCCTTCACGCTCCACAAAAATAAAGGGTAACTCATCTAAAATAAGCATTCTAGCAAGTGCCTTCCTACAACTATCTGGATCAAATTGCCAAAGCTTAGGGACTCTTAACAGTTTGTGGGGTTCCATCTTCACCTACAAATGTTTTTGTTTCAAAATCAATGAGCTTTTGTTTTTTATTCAAGTTGGCAGGATATAGTTTGCATCTATTAATATGATTTAACATGCCACTAGTCCCATTTGATGACTTATAAGCAATTAACTTCTTACAATATTTGCAAGTCACCTTAGTGTCACCAGCTTTATCAAAATGATTCCATACTGCAAATGTTTTTTTTTTTCTATCAATACTTACAGAAGTTCCTGCTGACTTTTTCCTTTTCTTTCTGGAACCTTCCACAACAGTCTCTCCTTGACTTTCTAGTTCAAATGTTTCATCTTCTTAATCTTCACTCTCGTGCATTGAGTTATCATTAACAACACTTTCCATAATCTGAAAAATTAATCATTAATTGGAAACAAATTTAATTAGAATGGTCGTATAAAATTATAAATGTTCAATATAAAGCTTGCTTAACTAGAATACTTGTCAGTTGTCACATGCAAGAAAAGCATTTATAATTTTATTATTATAGCAATTAAAAACTTAGAATAGTTGTATAAACGCTACAAATCAAGCACAACTAGTAGAATCAAACAAAATCTACCTAAATTCATAAACAAAATTAACAAATAATACTACAATTAAGTAATCAACATATTCAACACACTAATTCAAAAAAATAAGCATAATTAACCATCTAATCCTACCTAGTAGTCAAGTACCCAATTTCCCCAAATTGATTTGTACACTAATTCAAAAATAAAAATATGCATAAATCGAAAAGAGAGAAAGAATACCTAATAGATCTGATGTTCTAGTGAGTCGGTGCGTGAAGGCTCCGGTGAAGTCTGAACTCAGTAAGTGAGGTGAAGTGAGGGACTGAAAGGAGTGAAGGGTGGAGGCTAAAGAAGTGAATTGGGAAATAAGAGTTTTTTTAGGGTTACATTATATATTTTCCCTATAAAAATTAAAAAATATATATTTATTTATTTTAACGGTTAACCGTTTACAAAAACTTGTAACCGTAACCGTAACCGTTAACCGCTATATTTAGCGGTACGGTTAACCATAACCGTTTAATTTCAAGGTTTGGTAAATTAACCGTTTAAATGAGCCGGTTACATCGGTTAACGGTTACGGTTTTTTTGCACACCTCTAGTCGCGGTTGGGCGCCGGCTAGGCGTGCGGTGGTCGTCGGAGGTGGTCGGCGGCGAGGTGAGGTGGACGTGGCAGCAGCCGGTGATGAGGTGGAAAACAAGTGGCGCAAGATTTGAATGTGTGAAACCAATTTCACGTATAACCCCATGAACAAGGAAAAGGGGAAAAATAAGGAAAAAGAAAAAAAATAAGAAAAGAAAGAAAAGAAAAATAAAAGGAAAAGAAAAGAAAATAATACTTACCCCAATATGATTCATGAGCCTTTTTGTGTGGGAAAGTTTTGGGGTTTTGAGATGTATTTATAGAGTAGAGTATAGGGTTAAGTTTGAGCTTATTAAAAATGTGGGCTTAAGTTATAGAATATTTGTCCCACAAGGGTTCAAATAAGTTATTGGGCTTAGAAAAATGAAATGGGTAGGTCTAACAAGAGTATGTAGGAAAAGAATACATACGATTATTTAATTGAGCCCATATAATTAATAAACGTTTGGCCCAAAATATAATTTACTTTTATAAAACTTTATAATTAAAATACTTTAGCCCTTAAAATACATTTTATAAATATTTAAATACTTTATAAAAATACAAAGTATTATAGAGGAGAATGATGAACATGATCAACCTTGTTCCACAAAAATTTCCGGCAACTTCTCTCTAAGTTATTAAGGACTTAGATGGGAAGGAGATGATCAACCTTGTTCCACAAAAATTTCCGGCAACTTCTCTCTGAGTTATTAAGGACTTAGATGGGAAGGAGATTAGTTTGCATATGATAGACCGGGTAAGAGTTAAGGACATATTTGATTAAGGTAGATCGACTCGCAAGATTAAGAAGTTTGGCTTGCCATCCTTGTAATGCGGTTAATAGTTTTGTCAAGGAAGGTTAAATAATTAGAACTTTTAAGCTTGTTAGGGAAAATGTCAATTCCTAGATATTTACCAAAACTTGAAGTGCAAGATAAATTAAAGGGGGCAGCCACACTTCTTTTAACAACATGACACATTTTAGTAGGGAATATCATCGAGGACTTGGTTTCATTCACATTAAGACCAGACAATCTGCCAAAATCCTTGACTACATCCATCATAACAGTAACATCAGTGAGGGAAGCTCTACCAAACAAAAAGACATCACCGGCATAAAAAATATGAGAAAGATTGACTGAAGTGCTAATTTTGATTGGTTTATGTAGACACCCATTTGTGTTTCCCCAAAACCAAACCCGGTGATGAGTACCTTTTACGTCAAATCATAATCGAATGAAGTGAAAGTGTGGAAAGTCTAGTGTTGCGGTTATTTTTTTATTTCTTCTCTTTCTCTTTGTTTTTGAAAACCTATTTTAAGAAAACAACCAATCTAGTTTGGTTTGGTCCATGGCAAGGGTCCAATAATATTGTAGTTGGGTCAGGTTCGAAAAGAGCTTTCCTACGATATATTATAAGCCCAATTCCGATAAATAATGAGGAAGTTATGGCCAAATTACTAAACTGGGCCCGGTTTGATTCTTATATGCGACTTAATGATCTAGGGGAGGGCCTATTATTGATTTATCATTCCTAATGTGATTAGGATTAACTATAGTCTTCTAGAATCTTCTAGAAGGTTCTTTTGAATCATAATTTGATTAGCATTGATAAATTGACTTTTGAGAGTTTTAATTAGAATAAAAGAAATGTTTTTAAGGAAATTACATTTTTACCCTCGTGTACGCTAAATTTTATCAAAATAAGAAAACACGTGGAAAATTGATTGCAGCGCCGTACGACACGTCTGTCGCCTGGCGACAGGCCTGGCCTCTGGCGACAGCCCTGTCGTCTGGCGACAAGTGCGTGTTTGGCGACAACGTCGTGTTTTATTCTTTTCGAAACTCTGATTCGTTTTTTATCATATCCGGCTGATTTTCTTTATAAATAGCCTTCTAAAACCTCTGTTTTCAATTATCGATCAATTCTCAATTATTCTCATCTAATTCTCATCAAACTCTTATCAAGAAACTCTTGATACTCTCTATTTTCTAAACTAGCTTTTCTCAAATACAAAATTCCGCATTCACAAGATCTAGACACACCTAGCCGAGTTCGAAATTGTCTTCGCCCAAGACGTGAAAGGTTTAATTTCTGAGGGTTTGGTCCCAAATCTCTCTTTCAATTAATTAATTTAATTATTTAATTTAATTACTTTCCTTGAAGTTACTAACGTGTGTATTTTGTTATTAGAAACATACGAGGCATCCAAGTAAGTGCTTTAATTGTTTGCGTTGATATTATGATATAGAAATCATGTCTAGGTTCCTATTTTGATTCCTAGTATCATGTTAGGATGTTTGATGTTTTGAATAACAACAATGATTCCTAGTATCATGTTTAGAGAAAAGGTTATAATATCTGTAGGGAATATTTCAAGCATTACCCCTAGCTCAAACCCCACTGTGATCATATACTAAAGTACGGTTGCGTCCAAAGGGAAAGAAGATAGAGCAAAAGAGTCGCCAACAAGTTTTAGGAACTTGTAAACCGTTCACGAGGTGAAGGTTACACCCCTTAACGATCCAGGAGATCGTCAACTCCAATAGGTCTGGAACCATGACTGGTAGTTCGGGGATGAAGGTACAAATCCAACCTAAAAGAGATTGAACCTGCCCTAATAATAGGCCTCTACTAAACAATAAAAATCAAAGCTTTAGCCCTAACATGATACTAATATGAATATTAGGAAAAAAAATAGAAAGCATCATAACAATGACACTTGATTTAAGGAACTTATTCTTTACCCTAAACATGATACTAGGAAGATCAAAACACCCTAACATGACGCTAGGAATCATAATAACAACCTAGACATGATTTCTAAGAACCATAAAATCAATAAATGTATTAAAGCACTTACTTGGATGCCTCGTATCTCTTTCTAATAACAAAATACACGCGTTAGTAACTTCAAGGAAAATATAATCAAACAATTAAATAATTGAAAGAGAGATTAGGGACCAAACTCTCAGAAATATCAAACCTTTCACGTCTAGGGCGAAGGCAACTTCGAACTTGGATAGGTGTGTCTAGATCTTGTGAATGCGGAATTTTGTAGAGAAAGATAGAGAGGAAGAAGAATTATTAAAAGCTAGAGAGAATAAGAGAGTTGATGATATTTGATGAGAATTGATGGAAATTGATGATTGAAAACGGAGGTTTTAAGAGGCTATTTATAGAGAAAATCAGCCAAACGGATAGAAAAACGAATCAGAGTTTCGAAAGGAATAAAACACGATCGCAGCGTTACCACGCACGTGGCGCCAAACGCCAGACATTAGCGCCAGACGCTGAAGTTAGCGGCAGGCGCTAATGCTTGTCGTCAGGCGCTAATAATCAGTTTCACGTGTTTTTTTTTTATCATATCTTTTGATCCGGAAGTCCAAATAAGGCATATAATATGTCGTTGGAAAGATATTGAAGTCTAATTTCCAACCCAATTAGAATCAGATTAAAATCTTTTATAGATAAAAAGATATGGCCGAATTAGGGAAAGAGTGTCAGTTTTGGATAGAGTTTCATATCTCATTAATATCTTTTTCGTTATAACTCGGATTTAATATTATAATATATCATTGGAAAGATAATTTCAAGATCTATCCAAACATATAAAATTTGGATAAATATTATCAGGCACGAAAATAAAATCTGAATATATTCCACTTTGTACAAAATAAGGATTCTAAAAAGGAGTAGTTTTATTCAATTTCAAACTCTTTGAAACATAATTATAAATCCTAACTCCATTAGGATTTAAAATAACCTTCTAGAATATTCTAGAAGAATATAATCAATCCTAATAGCTTTAGGAATGATAATTAATAATAGGCCCTCCTCTAGATCATTGGGCCATAGGTAAAAACCAAACCGGGCCAAGTTTAGTATTTTGGCCATAACTTCCTCATTATTCATCGGAATTGGGTTTATAATATATCATTGGAAAGGTCTTTTCAAGCCCCATCCAAATACACTATTATTGGACCCTTATCATGGACCAAACTAAACTATAATACACGTTTTTCATAAATAAGGTAAGAAAGAAATATTTTCAAAAACAGAAAGAAGAGATATTTTAATAAAAACATCCTCATCACTAGACTTTTCACACTTTCGCTTTGTTCGATAATCAAATGACGTGAAAGGTATTCATCACTGGGTTTGGTTTTGGGGAGACACAAATGGGTGTCTATAGAAGCCCCCACTTTGACTGAGTTTGGAGAAACGCAAGTTTCGAAAACAAAAGTCAAATTATCGATAGGAACGGAGAATGATTTAGAACGTTCTGCAATCCTAAATCACTCTTGTAACCCCGATACCTGCAAACTAGCGTTAGTTAAACAGATAAAAGAGTTAAGAAACGCGTATCTTGCACCGTCGAGCACACGTCTCTGGAGGTAATCGATTTGTTGCTGTTGCATTTGCTTTATTTTTGATAACCTTTCGCAAGCCAGGGAACGCCATCATGCTGTTTTGATGTTCACTCGTCTCTTAACAATAGAGCTTCTTTTTGAGGATTGTTCACTCGTCTCTGAACGAAAGATCTTTAATAGGATGCCCATGTGTCTCTGAGCAGGAGAGCTTGAAATACATGTCCACGCGTCTCTAAACAAAGAGCTTTGAATGATATGCCCACGCGTCTCTGAGCAAAAGGGCTTTTTTAATATGTCCACGCGTCTCTAAACAATAGTGCTTGAATAATGTGCCCACGCGTCTCTGAGAAAAAGAGATTTTTAATATGTCCACGCGTCTCTGAACAAAAGAGCTTTGGAAGAAATGTC